GCCTCTGGCACAGGGAACCAGGGATGAATGACTCTGCTGACAGCAGGAGTGCTTTGGGACCTTCCCACTGCTGACAGGAGCGAGAGCTGGGATGCTAACTGGCCCCCAAACCTGCCTGTTACAACATCCCAAATGCCAAAGTACAATGTGAAATTCTTCATTACAACACCTACTATGTGGAGCTGCAGTGCTTAGCTGGCTCTGAAGCAAGAGCAGCTCCTACTGCTGTCAAATTCCCAGGCTGAGCTTTGGACACACAGGCAGGAAACTACCTGGGGAATGAAGCAAATCAGAGTTTTTTTATAGAATTTTTTCAGCAAGTTTGAGGTCAGGTCAGACAGTTATGAGGCCGTGCCCATGACAGCTCAGGTAGCAGGAATGGCTGAGTCAGAGGCAAGGTGGACACCTCCCACAGGCAAAGCACTGTTGGAAGAGCACCAGCAAAAAGAAACCATGATCTGTTTGTCAGGTGCAAACCCTGGGCCTGCTCCCTTTCCCTCATTTAAGCATATTCCCATATTTCCCATAAATATTTCCCATATTTAAGCCCACATTCTCCAGGGTAACACAGAATCCCAGAACGGTTTGGTTGGAAGGGAACCTACAGAACATCTCATTCCATCCCCTGTCAAGGGCAGGGACACTCCACTGTCCCAGGTTGCTCCAAGCCCATCCAACCTGCCTTGGACACTTCCAGGGATCCATCTCCAGAACTCTCTCTTCCCTCCCAGCACAGATTTTCTTCATGGTCCTTCATCTGCCATTTGTCAGCAACAGCCTCCCTTCATCTCCACCACCAGTACTGGATTTAGTTTTTTCTGACATTATTTTTACCCTTTTGTTGCTAAAATTGCCTGAAAATAAAGTTTGGTAAACACGCCATGAAATTTTAGGATAGAACATGAAAGGCAATTACACTCTGCATACAAAGTGCTTTAAATGTGCTTTATGGGCTTGGCAGAACTCAGCCCCTCCTCCAGAGCCTCCACCCCATTTGGGAGATCTGTTTTATTTTCCTGTTGTAAACTTCACTTTTCCTGTTGGCAAAAGGGAGCATTTCTGGCAGGAACAGAGCAGCTGGGGGCTCTCTAGAGTGAAGTGGCTTTCAGCAGTGATCTGTGGGACACTTTGTGCCTCACAGAGTGTGACAACACCTGCCCAACCTCCTTCCCCCGCTGGAGAAGGTTCCAGTCAGTGGTCCAGGGGAGCTGATATAAAACCTGCTGCCTCTGAACATCACCCAGGCCCTAAACAACATTTCAGTGTGTTGTTTGTCACCCCTGGAGCAGGGAAACTGCAGCAAGACACAACCAATGAATTCCCACTCCCATGAATCAGGGGGCAGCCAAGGCCAGAGCCACTCCTGGCATGGACGTGACACCAGGCAGGACAGGGGCACCATGTCACCACTGCCAGGCAGGCTCAGCCCATCCTGGTTTTCCCAAAAAAGAGAAAGTCAGGCTGCTCTTGTCCTGCTTATCCAGCTATTCCAATTCCCTGTACAACCACCATGGGAGAACGACTTTGGGTGAGAGCCTGGAGGGACAGGACACAGGGAATGGCTCTCACTGCCAGAGGGCAGGGATGGATGGGATATTAGGAGAAATTCCTCCCTGTGAGGGTGGTGATGCCCTGGCAGAGGGTGCCCAGAGCAGCTGTGGCTGCCCCTGGATCTCTGGAAGTGTTCCAGGCCAGGCTGGATGGGACTTGGAGCAACCTGATCTACTGGAAAGTGTCCCTGCCCATTCCATGATTCTATAATCACATTCAGCTTGAAATGTTGACTTGTCTCTTCTTTCAAGTCCCAGCACTTCATTTTCTTTTCTCTTTCACAAGCCACTCGTTTGGTTGTGAATATTTCTGCCTTTTTGTGTGAAGGCCCCTCTGTCTGAAACATCTCAGCTTTCCCCTTGTCAGGTTCCCAGCATTCAGAGTTACAAAGAAATGCCAGGAAGTGGAAACTGAAAATCCATCATAAAAGGGCAGAAATCAAACAACAAACACAAAGGATGTTAACATGGTTAAAAGGAAAAACAACCTACCAAAATCAGGGTTTTTTTCTCAGTTTAACCCATTGTGTGCAGTGTAAGATGGGGCAGGGATGATCCCTGGCCCGTGCTGGAGAGGAGCCCCTTATCCTCAAAAGAGTTCCTTGGCTTTTCCTGGCTCCCTTTAGGGGCTCTCCTAAATCCCCTGTCCACCTTGAAAACCCTTACTAGAAGTATCTGTAACCTCTGTAATCCCTTTTATGGTTTTAAAACTGAATTCTTGCTGGGTGGACCGTTCCAATTTCAACACAAAATTGGCCATGATGGGAAAGATGAGATTTCACACCATTTGTTCCAGTCTGTGCTGCTTGAAGGAGTGACTGGGAGCAGGGATCTCACTGGATCACAGGGACCAGGCTGCTGAGCATCTGCAACTGCCAAGCACAAAGAATTTCAGACAAAAATCAGTGTGATCTACTACAAACCTGCAGGAGCTGGCTGGACTTCACCATGCCAAGCAGAACTTGGACTAACAATCCTTATTTTGGGCAAAGCAGGGTCCACTACTCACAGCAAGGAATTATTTGGGATTTTTTTTCATCTGCAGCTGCCTCAACCATTGAACTGGCAGCAGTTGTGAGGTCTGTGCACCGCTTGGCACGCTCAGGAAGAGCCTCAAATGAGGCATAACCTGATGCTGACCTCTAGCCCAAGGCTAAATCCTACTCTGGATGCATCACACACCCCTCCAGAGCTCCAGGGGATGTGACAGCGACCCAGCTATGACCAGGGGCAATCCCACGCACTCATCCTAATTTGCTGTGTGAGCTTTAAAAAAGCAAATTATTTTTATGAAACAAAGGAGGGTTACACTAGGCAGCTGCCTGTTCCCAGGCCTGAGTAACTAGGGCAAAGTTTGATCCGTTTCAAAATAGCGTTAATATTTTTAATGACCCATAAGCCCACTTTCAGAACAAAGCAAGGACTTTCTCCTTTCTGCCTTAGTTTCAGGAAAAGACCAAGCCTCCTCCTTTGCCAGCTGAAAAATGTCCTCCTCCTTTGCCAGCTGAAAAATGTAGCAGTGGAAGAGTCACCCCATGCACTGATGTCACCACACAATGCTGCAGTCACTGGATGTAAACACAGCTTTCAAGGCAATGAGGTTTTGTTGTATAAATAGAATAAAGAAATGTATAAAGGCAGCTTTTTCTTTCCTAGTAAAAAAAAAAATAAAAATTGAAGCATTTCACTCAATTTCTTACTCACAATGTCAACCAGCCTGGCAAAAAGCCAGGGAATCCTCTAGGAATAGGTGAATGTCTGTGGGATAATAGAGGGAATTATTCTGAGCTGTGGATGGGTGGCAGCAGAAGGCAGCTGATCCCACAGAGATCCACCTGGATCCATGGACGCTTCCAGATTCTCGCAGAGAAGCTCAGGAAGAGTTCACCCCTCGGTGACACATCACATTTCCCGGGAGCAGGCTGAGAACTGTGCCTCAATCCCTTGCCGGGCGCAGGCTGCGCTTCCCGGGGCGATGCTTTCTCCGCTTCCCTCCGGCATCATTTGCATTCGCTCCTGCGGCTCCCGGGGCGTGCGGGGAAGGCACGGGCGGCCGGACGTGTGTGCAATTCCCAGCACGCACGGAGTCAGGGCTGCCGCGTCTGTCACACGCTCCGCGAGACAAAGCTGAGAATGGCACCACATTCCCTGGCAAGTTTTCCCTCCGCTTTACCCAAGGATCTGAGCACCTTCATGAAGTCACAGCTGAACCCACCAAATGAGCTTGGCCCGTTTTGTCCCCCCCTCCATCCCCAAAAAAAACCCATCACCGGATCAGCAGCTCCGTTATCCCAACGCTTCCTCCAGCATGCCTCCGAGCTGTTAATCATTGCCATGGGAAATCCTACGCTCATCTACACAAATTAAAATGTAATTTGTGTATCTAAACATCACAGCTCAGCTCACCCGCTCCGCCTGAGGAGCCGGGATACCGCCGGCACTCGTGTGAGTGAGCTCACATGGAATTACGGCTCCGGAGGAAACGGCAAATTACTCTGCTCAAATAACGGGAACTGGCTGGATAAAATGGGATTTCCTACGGAACAGCGTGGCAGTGGCAGTGGGTGAAGCCATCCTTCACAAGCAGGCTGAAGGTGGAGGAGCCCCTTGCCGGTGCTGCCCACCTGTGGGACCAGCGGGGCTCATCCAGGGGGAATCGGGAGCTGCCGGAGGATCCAGGAGGATCCAGGAGGATCCAGGCGCCTCTAGAGGAACCGAAGCCTCGCAGGAAGGCAGCACAGAACTTCCTCCTGCCGTCCCCCCGCTCCGCTCCCCGGCTCCCCCGGGATCAGGGGGCTGCCAGGGGTGGGTTCAAAATGGGCCCTGTCTGGAGGGTGACTCGACAACTAAATCCTACAGCTTCCAGAACGGGGGAACCCCTCTGGAGGGGTGACAAGCCGGGGTGGCCTTGTGGCTCTGCCTGCGGAAGGCGGGGTGAGCGGGATCGCTGCTCCCGGATGAGCTGGGGTGGTGGCTGAGGTGTCATCCCCCATCAGGGGCTGAGGGGACAGCAGGGCCGGGCTAAGGGGTGTCAGGGCAAGCCGGAGCAGCAGCCCAAAGGCTCCCCAGGGAGCTGCCGGGGCTGTCCGGCCCCAGGTGTGTCAAGGGGTCCCGCCGCAGCCCAGCCGAGGGCGGTGACCAGCCCAAGCCGGGGACACCCCGCCTCAGGAGGCCCCGGAACGAGGGGCGCCCCTTCCCGCAGCCCCGCTCCCCGTCACGCTGCCGGGGCGGGACGGGCGGACCCCAGCCCCCTCAGGGATAGCGCGGGGATGTCCCAGACAGCCGTGTGTCCCCTCGGCACCGGGCAGCCCCCCGCCCCGCCGGGCCAGCCGAGCCCCCCGCCCGCGTCCTCCCGCCGCGGCCCCGCCCCGGCGCGGCCCGCGGCCGCCTCAGGCCCGGCATTGTCCGCGCTCCCCCCGCTCCCCCCCGGTTCTGCCGCCGCCGCCCTACCCCAGCTGCTCCTGTCCCGGCGGTTCCGGGCCATGGCGGCGGCTGCGGGAGGCTCCGTGCGCGCTCCGAGCCGCGCTGCGTCTGGCGGGGCTGCGGCGGCGGCGCGGGGCGGGCGGGGGAGCCGGCGGCGGCAGCAGCAGCATCCCCGCCCGCCGCTCGGCGCGGCACCGCGGCACGGCCCGGCACGGCACGGCCCGCCGGGGCACCCGCCCACGGCACCCGCGGGGCCGCCCCGGCACCGCCGCCCGGGGTGCGCGTAGCCAGGGGGGCCCGCGGGCGGGGCGAGCCGCACCCCCGGGGGGGCTGAATCCCCTCCCGAGGGGGTGGATGGCGGTGGGGGGCTCAGCACGGGTAGGAGACATCCAGGGTAGCCCTGCCAGGGCGCTGGGATCGTGAGGGGCGGCCATGCAGGGGGGTATGGATGGGGTCTCAGCACGGATAGCAGGGTCCAGCAGCCAGGGGAGCCGTGCCAGGGCACTGGGGTCGTGAGGGGCACCACCAGCGGCGGCCATGCAGGGGGTACGGGTGGGGGGCTCAGCAGACAGGCTGCTCCAGCATCCAGGTTATTCCTGCCAGAGCAGTAGGATCGTTGGGGCACCCGCAGCCGGAGTATTCAAGCCAGGGGGCACTGGGTGCACTTGGAGGTACCCACACGCTGGAGACATCCACCCCAGGCCAGGGCACCTGGCTCATATGGGGCACTGAGCACCCCTGTGGGCACCCACCCACCCACAAGGGGCCATGGCTGGGAGGGGAACCCGGCACAAGCAGGACTGTGGTGAGTGCATGGGGACGCCTGGGCTGAGAAATCACCACAGGGATGCTGCCCTGGGGTGCGGTCAGCCAGGCCCTGCTCCCCAGTCCCGCCTGTGCAGGCAGCAGGAGACACTCAGAGTGCTCATGGAGATAGAGCACAAAGGAGGCAGGGTAAGGGCTGCGCTTGGACACCTCTGGGGAGGATTTAAGTGCAGCACAGTTGATAACGTAGAATTCCAGAATGGTCTGAGTTGGAAGGGACCCTAAAGCTCATTTCATTTCACCCTCTCTCATGGGCAGGAGTCCTTTTCCTTTCCTTTCCTTTTTCCTATCCCCAATGTCCAGCCTGGCCTTGGGCACTTCCAGGGATCCGGGAGCAGCCAAAGCTCCTCAGGACGCCCTGTGCCAGGGCCTGCCCACCCTCACAGTCAGGATTGCTTCCCAATGTCCCATCTAACCCAGATGAAGCCATTCCCTGGCTCCTGTCCCTCCATGCCTTGTCCCCAGTCCCTCTCCAGCTCTCCTGGAGTCCCTTTAGGTCCTGCCAGGGGCTCTGAGCTCTCCCTGGAGCCTTCTGTTTTCCAGCTCTCCCAGCCTGGCTCCAGAGCAGAGAGGCTCCAGCCCTGTGGCCTCCTCTGGACTTTCTCCAGCATCTCCACATCCTTCTGTTGGGGGCCCCAGAGCTGGGGGCAGCACTGCAGGTGGGGTGTGTCACAAAAGCAGAGTAGAGGGGAATGATCCCCTCCCTCAGCCTCCTGCCCACCCTGCTGGGCTGCAGCCCATGCTGTGTTTGGCTTTCTGGGCCCACTCCCACCCACTCCCTGTGCACCAGCATGGGAGTGCACACTCTTGTCCTCAGCTACTGTTTGCCCACGCTCTTGATGCCAACAAGCTGCTGGAATCAACCTGACTCTGAAGCCAGAGCCCAGTGCTCTTTGGAAGACACGTGGCACAGCACGCCAAGATCAGCTGATCAAACTGTGGAAATGTGGTGGTCACCAGAGGGACAAAATCTGTCAGGATGGGAAGGGAGCTGAGCCCCAGATTGTATCTGCAAGAGGAGATTTTGGGCAAGTGCTGATCATTTCTGCACCCTGGCCCACAGCAGCCAGGGAAAGCCAGTGGCCATCCAGCTTTGTTGGACTCACAGGAGCCAGCAGGATCTGCTCTTCACTCCTGACAGCAGGAAGAATACTCAAAACCAAACCAATCTTCAGTTCCAGGCGTCTGATGGGTACCAAAGCCATGTGTGGTTGTGCTCCCATTGATATGCTGATACTTCATTCCTGAGTGCCTCCTCCAACCCTGTGTGACTGCCTCTCGTTGGCCTCTTCCCCGTGTTTACAGCATCAGAAGCAAACATGTAATTTTGGCTCTCTCACGTGGCAGAGAGCTGAATCCTGCCCACCCCTGCCGGGCCCTGCGACCACGAGGAGCTCCCTGGGCTTTGCAGAAGCTGCATTAGGGTTTGTAGGAATAATCCCTGAGATTGCCCCTGCCTGTTGCTGCTTCAGTGCAGCAGAGGGGAGACAGGTGTTGTCAGGAGGGATTTATCACACTGGACACTCTCAGAGGGGTTCAGATAGGTTGAAAGAGGAGATTAAAAGAAAAGCAGCTGGGAAATGGACAGGGGAGGGGGGAAAATAGAGGATGGAAAAGGAAATGTGTTAATCTGAAAGTCTAATTAAACTGAGATGGGCTCAGGTCCTGTTTTCCTCATTCCTTTGAGAATTGCTGCTAAGATCAAGCTTGTACTGCCCCATTTACTGGCATTTTCTCCTTTTCTCTTATGGTATCCATTATGGTATCCCAGTCAAGGAGAAGCAGAGAGGTTTGATCCTGTTCTGTGGGGATTGTCTGCACAAAGTCCCAAGGCCTTTTCCTGCATTATTTCCTATGATCACAAGTCATGGGGTGATCTTTTTTCCAAAGAGTGACTCAGCATTTGTTCATTTTCACGCCCCCCCCACCACCAATTCATCTTTCCTTTATTTCCCAGTCGCAATCAGCCCTTCCTAGGAAGCATCTTTGCATTCTTGCTGCCCAAGTTGCCAGCTCACAAAGAGCTGATTTCACAGCAGATGCGCTGAATGATCATGGACTGGAAGAATTCTTGAGCAAAAACGATGCTAAATGGAGAAAAGGCAAAAAGAGAAAACACCCCACAGAGGGAGAGCACAGAGGGAGAGCACACCGCGAGATCCAGCGCAGAAAAGGCCCCGGAATTTGGAGAAAACCTGGATTTAAATCCATCCTGCATTCCGCGGGCAGGAGCTGTTTCATAATTTACCTTGATTTGATGTCCCACTTAGCCAGGCAGCATTTCCAGTTGCTTTTCATATTCCCCAGCCCTGTGCAAACAGAGCCCGGGCGTTGTGCAACGCTTATGTAAGAGGTGCCAAAGGGACGCTGCCAAGGCTCTGCTCTTGCTCAGGTGCCACCCCAGGCTCCCTGGGACCTGCTGCTGAGGAAAACGCTGCCATCCCCACCAGTCTGCCTTGGACAAGGCGCTGCCTGAGCCCCTGGGGACAGATCTGTTCTTGCAGTGGTTATCTGAGGGTCTGGAGTGGGTTAGTTTAGTTTTTATTGTCACTTCTGCCTTCTCGGGGTTTGCTCTTTCACTGCTTCTGCTGAATTGTGTGGGAAAGTCAAAGGGATCTAGATGTCAAATGTGTCTGAAGAGCATTGCAGGGGGATGTCTCTCTGCTGGTTACACTGCCTGGCAGGGATTCCTCATCACTGCTCTCATTTCTGTGCCCTTATTCTAGGGTTAGGAGGCCTCGATTCCTTGGAAATACCAAAAAAGGATAAAACTGAATCAGCTTTTCCCTGGTCCTGAAGCTAAAACCTTCCTGACATCTTTCTGTTGTTTGACTTTTCTTTTTATTTTTTTCTTCCTGAAATATTTTAAGTGAAGCAGATCTTTGTTGCTTAGGAAATCCTGCTATTCCTGCAGCTCCCATTTCTCACCCCAAATTGTGCTGTGACCGCCCACATTTACACGGGCTGTGCAGCCAAAGGAATTTTCTTTGCTGCTTCTGTAAACACCATTGCACACTGGGGCTGCACTGAGGGATTTCACTGTGCAGGACACAGAATTCCAGCAGTTAATTAAATGACTTGTTTAATCAATCACTGTGGAGGTTCTTCCTTCTGGAAGATGCTCCACAAACTAAAGGAGCTACTTAAGGATAAAATAAACATGGAGATAAAGAATCATCAGCCCAGGCCTGGTTTTACCTCGGCGGCTGCCTTTGCACCATCTGATCCTTTTATTTCTCTTTATCAGTTTTTTCCCCAGAGTGTGGTGGGGCTCTCCCAGGGAATGGTCACGTTCCCAAGGCTGCCAGAGCTCCAGGAGAGCTCTCAGGATTTTTGGGGTGTCTGTGCATGGCCAGGAGTTGAACTGGATGATCCTCAGGGTAATTCCATGATTCTACAATTTAGAGGCCAGCAAGGCAGAGAGAGGATCTCTCCTAAGCCAAACCTCCCGTCCATTTCCGACCCTGTTTTCAATTTGTCCCCTCTCTCTGCACTGACAGGCAGATGGACGCTATTGAAAACATCCTTCCTCACCAGCCTCCTTTTTGTTTGCAACGTGGCTTTAGTGAGCCCAAGCCAAAATCTGTGTGTGCCAAGTTTGTTTCTAGGATTTCCCCTTGAAGAATCACCTCAGCCAGAAAAAAAAGCTTCCAGCTCCTCTTGGCAGAACCAACCAAATCCACCTGCCTGGATGATTCAGCAGGACACTGTTGAAATGTTCCAGCCAGGTTGGTGCACCTGGAAGCAGGGGAAGCAGCCGGGTTTCCAGGCAGTGCTCTGAATTTCCCTTTTCAATGCTGTTTTTCATGGAAATGGCCACATTTTCCTGCGTCCTTGTGCTGAGCAGTCGCTGTCTGGTGTCACCTCTGCCCTCCTGTGCGTGCTGCTGGGAGGGAAGGGCATCCAGCTGGTTTCCTTCCTTTGAATGCAAAGAGCACAATCAGCTGCAAAGTCTCCTGAGATGCATGGACGTGAACGGGGTGACACAAATATAATGTATAGCCACAGTGCCCCTCTTCCTTCCGTGAAAAACAAACCCTTGCACACAGGGCTGGGCTGGGCCTCGTTCCATTCTCCTGCTCCTGCAAGGGACAAAAGGCTTTTTTCTCTTCTCCTTCCCACAGCATCTCAGCACAACCCCTGGAGAGATCCTCAGTCTATGGCAGTCTGATGTTTCCTTGAGCAAGTGAATTCCCAAGCTGGACATAAGAAATATCCTGGATGTCTCCTCCTTCTCTTGCCCTTGGCTGTGTTCTCTCCATCCATCTTGCCACGACTTCTCTTTCTTTCTGCTCTTTATTTTTTCTAAGCATTTTTTGTACTTCTCATCACGTGCCTGCATCTGCTGCCATCCCAGCTGTCCCCCAAAGAGCCATTCCAGCAGCAAGAAACCATTCAGGATCCCACAAAATCCTCCCTCTCCCACTTATTTTGAATTCTGATAGCAGATTAGATGAAGCAGCATGAACAGCTCTGCAAGCTGCCCAAGGGATGCCAAGAAGCTTTAGGAGGTTCAGCATCCTGAACTGGACTCAGGGGTGGAAAATTGTCCACAGAAAGCCTGGGAATGGCTCCACTGCAGCCCCTTCACCTGTGGCCATGGGTGAAGCAAGTGTGTGTTCCACTGGGGAAGAAAACCAGCCTGAAAAACAAAAACCACAAACTTTAAAAAAAAAAAAAATTCAAATCATAGGGAAGGTGCTGCAGCAGTTACGAATGCTTCCCATGTGAGTTTGTTAGACTGTGTAAAATTAAACATATTTTAGTAGTCAGAAAACTGACCAAGGCTGAAGTATTTTCACTGCTTTTAAAACCACCTCTATTATCTTGCTCAGTTAGAAATTCCTCCAGCTCTGCAGCCTCCCGTTACCTGGTGCTCCCTGGTGCTCCTGGGCGTCTGGTGGCTGCTCTTCCTCCTCAGGCTGCAGCACAAACAGATCACATTCTCCAAAGCCACGGAATGCCTTATGTAAAACCACTTAACATTCCTTTTAGGGCTGCGACCTGCTCACATGGAAGATGCTGCATAAAAGCACATTCCTGAACACGCTTGACCAGAAAAGCAGCGTGGTCTGGGGTGGAAAATGCAGTGTGTGCTCAAGAGCACGGGCCTACCAGGGCACAGGGGCCGTGGCTTGCACTGAAAACTCTGCACAACTCATTAGAATCATTAATTAAATCATTAAGGTTGGAAAAGCCCTCTGAGACCATTGAGCCCAAGCCTTAACTCAGCACTGCATGGTCATCACTGACTCATGTCCCCAAGTGCCACCTTCTCACTGCTCTTGTCCCCCTCCAGGGATGGTCCCCACCACTGCTCTGGGCAAACAATGCCTGACCACCTTTCCCTGAAGAGATTTTCCCCAATATCCAACCTCAGCCTCTCCTGGCACAATTTCAGGCAGTTTCCTCATTTTCCTCCATTTTCCTAATCATGAAATGGTGACAATAATCCAGTCCCAGTGCTGCTTTTATCTATGGACACCTCCCAGATGTTCTTCCAGCAGGGAACCGAGCTGGGAAAGGTGAATTAAAGCTCAGAACACGAGATGGGCTCTGAGAGCTCCACTCTCCACAAGATGGGATGAGAAACTGCACCTCCAGGTGGGAAGTGAAACTTAACCCAGCAAGGACTAAGTACAGCAGCTTTTGCAGTGAATTGCAGCCCCTCAGATCTGGGAGGTGTTCTAGGAGGCCAAGCCTTAATGCACCATCTGCCACTGGAAAATGAAATGTCCTTTTTGCTGTGCTGTCATCCCATGGCTTGTCAGGAGCAGCAAGTCAGCAGAGTGAAAAGCATCAGCTGAGGAAGGGGAAAGAAAAAGGACACAAACAGCTCCCTATCGGGAGCACAGGAAGCTGATTTATGAGGGGAAAGGTAATTGCTTTGTTAAAAACCACTTGAGGAAATACAGCTCTCTAAAGGGTAAATAGTGCCTTGTTTGTTGGGGGCTCAGGAAAACTTAGGTATTTATGTTGGAAAGGACGTACAGGATGCAGAAGGCTTGGAGAGCACAACGGGAAATGAAATGGGAATCTCTTTAAGTGAGCAGCCCTGAGCTCTCCTGGTTCTGGGAGGTGGGGCAGGTTACATTTTGCAGCCCAAACGAGCCCATAAATAAATCCCAATAAACCCAAAGGCCACTCTGCAATTCCCAGGAGTCTGCACACGATGCCTTTGAGTTCAACCCAAAGCACCACAGATCCTAATGAGGTCTGCTATGGAGCCTGTGGTCTGAAGGAAAATCTTATGCAATCCACAGCACCCTGTCAGGTACTACTTGTGGGATTTCTAAATGTGAGAGCAAGTTCAAAGCCCAGGCTCCATTTTAAACCCAAGATCAGTGCTTGGCTACGTTGTCATTAGACTATATTGGGCCTGCCTGGGCTGTGTGGCTGCCAAAGCAGCAGAATCTGTTCTGAACTAAGCAATCCTGGACACCAGAGACTCCTACATCTGGCATCCATTTGAATTTTTTTCTACCTAACTTCTGCAGACGTATTTCCTGCCCTGAGTATGTGGTAGTTTTTACGCCTAGAAAAATCACACCTCCTTTCAGGCCCTAATGATTCTCCTTGCAGCCAGTGCTACTGCAAATTCCAGCATTCCTCTACTCCCTATCCCCACCTTTGGGCTTCTTAAATTGTTCAGCATTCGTTTCAGAGACCATGGGTGAGCTGAACCCAGAACTTCAGCTGCTTTGCTGAAAATAATTGGGAAAGGCAGCTATAAATGCTTTCCACTTTGCAGGTTCACAGGAGCTTTTTTTGACTTATGGAGCCCGGGGAGACAAGTCTCAACAGGTCTGAGGTAATTCTGGTGTGACTTTCATTGCACTGGTTACCCACAAAGCTAAATGCCACCTGATTACTCCATGAGAAGGATTACACGATGCGGCTGCAAGGCTGCAAGGCAGATCAGTCCTACGTCCTCCACATCTTCCTCCTCCTTTTCCTTCTCGAGTCTCTCGGGAAGTATCCCAGCCTCTGGTGTGAACGATGGAAAGCTCAGCCTGGTGTTTGGTATAAGTAGGTATATGGATTGAGATATATATAAAATATAGGTGGTGTAGCCAACCTGGGGGCTTCCTTCCAGCCTCAAACCAAGGGGTACAGGCTCAAAGCCCTGACTGTACCTGGACTTCTCCCTCCACAATGAGGAGCAGGGTCAGAAGAGGCACAAAGATGCCCCAAGGGCTGGAAATCCTCTGCTCCAGGCTGGAGAGCTGGGGGTGCTCACCTGGAGAGGAGGAGGCTCCAGGGAGAGCTCAGAGCCCCTGGCAGGGCCTGAAGGGGCTCCAGGAGAGCTGCAGAGGGACTGGGGACAAGGGATGGAGGGACAGGAGCCAGGGAATGGCTTTAAGCTGGGAAAGGAAAGATTTAAGTTGGATATTGGGACGAAATGGGACGAAATTATTGGCTGTGAGAGTGAGGGTGACAGCCTGGCACAGAGCAGCTGTGGCTGCCCCTGGATCCTTGGAAGTGTCTCAGGCCAGGTTGGACACAGGGGCTTAGAGCAGCCTGGGATACTGAAAGGTGTCCCTGCAATGGCAGGGGATGGAATGGGATGGAATTTAAGCTGCCCTCCAACCAAAACCACGCTGGGATTCCATCAGCCGTCGGGCCGCGGCGCGGGCAGCGCCCTGTAACAGCCCCACGGCAGCGGTTCCCGGAGCGGCGCCGGGCAGCAGCGGAGCGGGGCCGAGCCTGCAGCGGGGCTGGGCCGGGCTCGGAGCGGGGCCGGGCTCGGAGCGGGGCCCGCGTTGGCCGCGCCGGGGCGCTGCGGCGGCGCGGAGGGGCTGCCGGCCCGTCCCGTCCCGAGCCGAGCGAACCCGGCCCGGCTCGGCCGCGGAAGGAGAACGAGAAGGAGGAGGAGAAGGAGGAGGAGGAGGAAAAGGAGGAGGAGGCGGCGGTGGCGGTGCTCCCCCTCCGTCCGTCCCTCCCTCCCCGGCGGGACAAAGGGCTGCGGCGCGCAGGTAGGAGCCGGCCCGGCCTGGCCGCCCCGGCGGACGGGCCGCAGCGCCGGCGGCACCGGAGCTCCCTCCCCGCCCGGCCTCGCTCCCCGCCCGGCCCGGCTCTTCCTGGTTGCCCCGAGGAGCCCCGGGAGCCGCGGAGGGCGCGGCCGCCCGCCCGCCTTTGTCTGGGCCGCCCGGAGCCCCCCTGAGTCGCCGTTGCCGCCGCAGGAGCCATGGGCCGGGGGCCGCCGCGGTAGGAGCATCCCGGGGCCGGCGGGGACGCGGCGGGGCCATGGAGCCGGCGGCGCGGGCCAGCGGCGATATCCTGAGGCGGAACCCGCAGCAGGACTACGAGCTGATCCAGCGGGTGGGGAGCGGCACCTACGGCGACGTGTACAAGGTGAGCGGCGGGGGGGCACCTCTGGCCAAGCCGGAGGATTCCCAATTGTGTCGGAAAGGATTGAATGTGAGGGAGGTGAGGCCCTGGCACGGGGTGCCCAGAGAGGCTGCGGCCATCCCTGCAAGTGTCCGGGGCCGGGCTGCATCGGGCATGGAACTCCCTGGGATGGTGAAAGGTGTCCCTGCACATGGCTAAGGTGTTTGGCTGAATGAGATCTTTAAGGTTCCTTCCAACCCAGACCATCCTGGGATTCTGTGCTTGCAGCACCAGAGAAGGTTCTCTCACCGCTGCCCTTCTTGGAGATTTTATTGGTGAATATCGCAGGCGATTCTTCCTTCCCACGTTACTGCCCCAGGAGGTAGAGGATATCTCTTGGCTGTACCTGCTTGCAGAACGCATCCAGTTAAAGCACCTGATTAAAAGGGTGCCACTTTATCCCCGAGGTTAATAATAGCCCGTGAAAGGCAGAAGCAGATTAAAGCTCTTCAGAAGCTGGAACGGAGCTGCAGCACGAGGTAGAGTTAGTGCAGCACGGCAAGTAGATGCTCGTGGAATGGTGCATACAAAAAGTGACCCTGTCCATGGCAGGGAGTTGGAACTGGGTGATCTTTTAGGTCCCTTCCAAGCCAAACCATTCTGGGATTCTGTAATTCATATTATTGCTCACATCAGCAGAACCACAGGTGTGGGGGACAGGAGGTGCAGGCAGTGGTGTGTTCTTCTCATAGGAGCCCTGTCCTCATCCTTCAGGGATGTTCCTCGCACCTCGGGGGTGGTCCTCACTCCTCAGGGATGTTCCTCACTCCTCAGGGATGTTCCTCACACTTCAGGGATGCTCAGCAGCTTTTAGGGCTGGGTGAATGATAAAGAAAGCCTCGAAGTTTTCAACCTGTGCGTGTTCAGCTGCACGGGGAGGGAGGGAGCTGTGGGATGTTTTCCTTTGTAGTGCTGTTGAGTGTGTTTAAAATAGACCTGACACAGCCAAGCGTGCAAGGGAAGGTGTGTTGCTGTGCCACATGAAAGGCAGCAGTAATTGCTCCTGCTGGGGGAGGGCTCTTTGCTGATGCTCAAATTGAAGTTTTATGGATGGATCCTGTTCCCACCACCCCTTTGAAATGGTTACTTATGACCTCAGGGAGTTATTTTTAAAAGTTTTCATGGTGCATATTTACCTTCCTCTTTTGTTTTTTTTAATCCTATAGTGCCGTGCACAGATCAGTCAGCTTCTTTCCTAGGGATTCTAGCACTAAATCCTTTAAAAGAACATTTCAGCTGTCATAAATCTGGAGCTCTGCCTACCTTGAGCTGCTTTGTTTGTGTGTGCCTGCCCAGTGCAGGGCAGCGTGACAAGAAATAACCAGGCAGCACGACAAGAAATAACTAGTTGCATTGCAGGGAAGTGGTTTTTTTTGTGTCATCTCTTTATGTGGAAAAAGAAATATTCTGCTTCTCATTATCCTGGCAATTAGTGGAGAGCTGTGCTGACATGTCATCCAGCTTCCGCTTCCGGAGCCGGGCTGGATGCAGGGCTCTGTAAACACATCCATCCCCTGGAAACACAGAAACCACAGCCCTCTGCCCCCTCCTCCTCCTCTCCCTGCCTCCTGGAAAATCCTCCCGAAACGCTTTCAGATAAGGAGCAAACCCAAACTTGCTCCTCGTGCAGCCTGGCAAATTTCAAAGTTCTTGGCAGGAGTTTCCGAGTCCGGACCGAGTATAAAGTTAATGAGTTTAAAGGAGTTTGAGAGGCTGCATTTGTTTCTAGGTCATTGGTTTGCTCTTTGTTTTGGTAAAGGGCCTGCAGCAGGAGCTGTATCGAGGGAATACTGGATCAGATGGCGCTGCCTCTTATGACAAATATGCACAGCAAACTTCTATTTTAAAGTCATTGATGTTGTGATAGTTTAAAAAGCAAGGTAAACCTTTTTTTCTTGAAGGGACTTAATGTATAAACATTGTGCTTTTATTTTTCTTAGCCCCTGGTGAGTCTCAGTGCAGATGGCACATCTTGGCTGTCGCAAGTGTTTATAAAATGAATTTATTAGTGAATATCCAAGTGGTTTTTATGTTGCAGAGCTTGGGAAGGGTTTGCTGGAGAGGGCTCTTAAATTAAAATGGAATTTTCCCCTCACCTCTTCAAGTGGTTTCTCTGCTCCTTCACTAATAGTGAGTCACCAGCGTCTCCAGCACAGTTGTTTTTGGGATGTCTAAGCCAGGCAGCCTCTCTGATTGTGGGACATCTGCCTCTTCCTCTGATGCTTTTTGGTGCTTGTGGTTAATGCTTTAAATTCCTCTTGGGGCATTTGGTAGCTTTTAGAGTAATTGGCTCTTCTTTGGATGGTGAAGGTGGAGGTTAAGCAAATATTTATCTTCACTATTAGGTTACAGAAGAATATTTACAGGCTTTTCCAAAAATTCTCCTGCCCACTTTGCTTTTCATTACTACCATGAAAGCTTTAAACAGAGATGTGTTTTCTCAGTGTTTGTGGGGTTTATTTCTCTTGTCTGTCACATGGCACACAATGGCTGATTGTAGGATTGCTCCTAAGTGCTGGATTGTTGATGTTGTTTTAATATCTTTTTTCCCCAAAATGCATTTCAGGGCTGGGGAGAAACCATCTGTAAATAAACTTTTGTCTATTCACAGCCTGTGTAAATAGATCCAAGTTTGTGTCTAGCAGTCTTGGAAGTAATTTCCATTACAATCCTGACTTGTTAGTTGTCTCATCTGTGGTGGGAAAGCTTTTTTTCCTTTTTAATAGAAGATATTAATATTAAACCATTGGAATAATTTATCCCTCACAGCATTGCACCAAAATATCTTGAATTATTGACTCGTAGAAAAGGTTGTAATAACAAAGATGAGAACTGAAACTTAATAATTTGCTGTTTAAAAAATAATATTTTTATGTCCCCAGTGTCACTCTAAACTGGCTTTCCTGGAAAGGTCTTCCCACCATGGTCATAAAAATTAAAATCTCAAGGCAGTGTTTAAAGATGACATCAATCTGTTCTGTTTGCATTCAGAAATTCTGAAATGCATCTGTTTCATGCTGAAATAGTTGTTATGTGTGGTTAATGAAGAAACACACATTTGACTGGGTTCTTGGAGCAGAAAATTGAAAAAAGCTGCTGGAGACTGTAAATGGAACGTAACCCTCAGCAGTGGGAAGTGGCTGGTCAGATCCCATCCCAGGTAAATTCCCAGAGCGGTCAGATGTTTCCCAGGATGGGTTCTCACACCACCATGACCTGGGGGTGAACCTGCAGCTTCTCAGGTTCAGAGAGAAAGTAGAGCTTTGTAGCCCTCATTTGGTTAAGGCTGGGTCGGTACCAAGGTCACACCATCAGCTGCATCATCACCAGCTCCTGCACTCCGTGGTATTTTCTGGAAGTACTTGGAATAGCAGGAGACTGGGCTGTTTTGCTGAACTTGTGGAATTTGGTTGCATCACAGCATTGCTTGTGTGTAATTGTGGATCTTGGTGTCCTCAGGAGACTTTGGAAAACAGGACTTGAATTCAGGGGGTAATTTCCTGCAGCTCATCCTGTATGGATTTGTTATTGGAGTGTTTATGATGGCTCTGAAGAGGTTTGCTGGAGAGATTTAGGGGAAATATTCAGGTGTCCAAGCCAGGTTGGGTGAGGCTTGGAGCAGCCTGGGATGGTGGAAGTGTCCCTGGCAGGGCTGGGATGGGATTTAGGATCCCTCCCACCCCAAACCCTTCCCAGGGCTCAGCTTTTTCTATTTTTCATTCCAAGTGCCCCAAAGAGAGTTTAACTGCTCCCTGCTCTGCAGAGGGGAACAAAGGGGTGCTTGATGTGTCTGGGTGTAAATCCATCCTTGTTGGAGGCTGTTGTTTGGCACTGAGCTGGGATGAACAGGGCATGTCTGTGCTCCCCGATGATCAAACATGACCTTGTGCAGCAATTCTAAAGCTGGCTTGTTTGGGCTTCTCCAAGCAGGATTGTGAGCAGTGCCACAGTGCCCTTCTTGAAAAGCAACCACAAGGGACAAGGAATGCACCAAATTCGTGGCAGAAACTGCCTGTAAACAAGGGGTGTGTTTTTTTTGAATAGCATCATATTTTATTTCATGATATTCATCATGACAATTTCATTCTTTCTGGAGTCACCTGCTCAGTCTCTCTTCTCTTGAGATTATTGTCATTATTTTTTAATCTCCTGCACCAAATAAAAGCATCAATTTAGAAGAAACCTACAGTGTTTTCAACTTAGAAGAAACCTGCAGTGTTTTCAACTTGAAAGAAACCTGCAATGTTTTGCCACCGATTGCTGCTGGAAAATAATGAGCAATGAAATTGGATTGTGGCACACACAGACGTTTTGCTCAAATTCAATTTAAAACAAACAACAAAAAGATTTGTTTTCCTTTCTTTGTGTTTTCTTTTTTTCAAGGTTGCCATAAAAGTGTGACTCTGTCCAGTCTGAATCAGGTTTCAGCTCTGCTTGTGTGGTCACTGCCTTGTTCTCAGAGCTCTGGATTCTCATTCCTGGTGCAGCCAAAGGCTGCTGAGAACCTGGTTTGATGTTTAGAAAACAATTCTCAATGTCATTCTAATCTCTCAGATAATGAAAATTTATCAGTTTTTTATCAGTGTGTTACTGCCTAAGTCAACAGGTTAAGAGCAGAGTATTAAAGCTTTTTTTGATACCAGAGAACAGTTATGGCTGTGACAGCTTTTAATCTCATATTTCCAACTTTCATACCAGCATGTTTTGGCAGCTGCAGACCAATTGGATTTGGCCATCCCTGACTCAGCACTCTGTCCCTGGTGAATTTCTGTTGCTTCCCCATAGAAATGACCATAAAACATCTGTCATGTGGGGGATTCCACTCCTGCCCTGCAGATCAAAGCCCTCTGCTCAGCAGTGTTTGCTGTAGCCATGCTGAACTCCATGTGCTCTTTTTTTTCCATGGAAATGCTGTTTGGAATGACATCAAACCAGGGCTCTTGAGTCTTTCTTCTTTCTCTTTC